TCAGGAATGGCCAGGATGGGGATGCCCTGGAGTTAAGGCGGTAAAATCGGAGGAGTCTTGCGAGAGTACTGTGAGCGGCCGTGAATTGAGAACAGCTTCAATTCGATTTAAGAACGTCGTGTACACTTCGTAATCGAATTTATAATTTCCAGCTACCCGTTTGAAATGAGCTTTTTACAGCTGATTCCCATAAACCGCCCATATGAGGAGCGCTTGGGGGTATAAATAGCCAATTGACACCTCGATTCTCTAAGTAGTGATATATTACGGCTGAAGTAGCGCGCTTGTGTATATGCGATTAGTGCGACTTTTGCTTTTTGTAACTCTAGGTGCGTCACTGTGTTGCATGGGAAATTATGTGATCCCTTGACTTTGCTTTTGAGCTGTTCTATAAATTTCAACATATAAGCAACTACTCTGAGAGCTCTTGGAAACGATGAAAATCGTTCAAGGATATCGGCATCATCTATGGCTTATGGTCGTGGTGTTACTTTGCGTGCGCGCATAGATAGTAGCGCACTATTTATTTTCAGAGGCGTCACAAAAGCCATGTTATTCAACTCTGTGTTCGGGGGAGTAGTCTACCCATCGCGGAATTTGTATCTGAAATATATCATTCAGATTGTTTACGAACTGGGACCATTTTTCTAAGCGAAGAGGTTTCATTTGTTCGTCCCAGTCAGTTCCGTCTGGCCATAGTTCTTGTATTAAGATTTAAGCTTSGATCATAATTGGCGAAAGCCATCCTGCGGGGTCGAAAGGTTTTGCCACCGAGGATAAAATTTGTCTCTTTGATATGGCTGATAATGTGGATATGGACTCTGTCGTGTATGAGAATTGGTCCGATATCGCATTCCATTGGATGTCCAGGGTTTCTGTTGTACTTTTCTTTTTGAATATAAGGAAATTAATGTCAAACAATTTTTCGTTTTTAGTATTTCTGAGTATATTTGGGTGATTTGCCGTAACCTTTTTTAATGAAAACCCTGCGGATTTGAGGGCTTTTATTACCTGTGATAAGGCCTCGTATGCTTGTGGAAGAGTGTGACTTCAGAATATCGTCTAGATACGTTTGAGTTTTCAACACTTCAGTTGCCARAGGAAATTCTGACTTTGTGTTGTCTGCCAATTCGTGGAGTGTTCGAATGGCTAAATATGGTGCACAGTTAACGCCGAATGTAACTGTTTTTAATTTGAAGTCGCGTAAAGGACTGGAGAGGGATCTTCGGAACATAATACGTTGAAAATCTTAGTCGTCTTTATATATGACTATTTGCCGATACATTTTTTTAACGTCCCCATTTGAATATACGCCAATTTAATATCAGAAGCATTAAATCTGGTTGGAGTGTGGGACCCGTAAATAGAATAGCGTTTTTGTTGTTTTTTTGTTTGGCTACTGGTGATGCGGCAGGTAAAAGTAGTAGTATTTGCCTTTTATAATTTTTTCACATGGGCTTACTTCCTCCATGTGGTCTAAAAGAAGGTATTCTTCTAAGACACAATCATAATCTTGTTTAAGCTCACCTTTTCTAAGTAGGTTTTTCTTCATACTTAGAAACTGCTGTATTGCGAAGGTGCGAGAGTGACCTGAGGCGAGTGTGTTAGGAAATTGTTGTGTAAGTGGCAGTTGTTCGACGTACTGGCCATTTCCGATCTAGTAGTTGTGGCTTTGTAAAAGTCTTCACAATACTGATCTTCTGAGGTTGTGACTGATATGGGGGGAGTTCTTCTAATTCCCAAAATTTTCTCAATTGTGAATTGAAGTACTGGTTTGATACTTTCTAAACTTAAGTTGTCAATGTTGTTACTGGTACCGCAACTAGTCCACTTAGGACCCATCTGAAAATGGTATTTTGCGCCAGAAGAGTATTCGTGATTTTCTCAATACCTTCGAGTGTTATCTGTGGTATGAGATCGCTGCCTAATATAAGATCTATTTGAGCAGGGGTGTTGCAGTTTGGGAAAATTTTTCGATCCCTAACATTCATTTTATTGAATTTTCCGCACGATTTTAGCTTGTGACCTCCTCTACAAAGTTCGCATGACGTTTGCTTATATTGTTCGGATGTGAACGATTGATTTTTAAAAAAGCTTCTATTTAAGTTATTGTGGCTAAGTGCTTGGGATCTATTGAACCTTCTATTGAGGTCGTTTTGAATGTTTTTCGGTCTGACTAGTGTTTTATCAACCCTTTCTGCAATTTCATACCGCGTAGTAAGAAATTCTTTCATTTGCTGCGACGTTAGGCACTTTCCTCGCGATGAAAGCGATTGCTCCCACAAAAGTAACGATTTTTCTGGTAATGCAGCTGTGCATATATTTACCAGAATGGGGTCCCAATTATCTGTGGAAATATTCTGTGTCGATAAAACTGACAAACAATTTGAAACAGTGGATTGAAGCTTTATTAATTCTTCACTTGTTTCTTTCTGAATGTTTGGTAAATTCATTAATATCGTCACCTGTTTGTCGACCAATATTCTCTCGTTTTCATAACGTGCTTTTACAGCTTCCCAGGCAAAATTGAAATTTTCGTCATTGAGAGCGAAATGTTTGACTATTACGCCTGCTTGACTTTTGGTTTTGTATCTGAGGTGATACAATTTCTGCGCTTGTGATAATTTATGATGGTTTATGAAATATATCTGTGTCGCATACTGACACTTTTAGGTGAATGCCTGAACTTTCCTCGAGGGCTTGTCTTTGTGGCAGCTCTATTCTCGGTTGTGGAGTAGGTGCAATTGATTTGATTAGTTTTAGTCTCTTCGAAATGGCCTTTGTCTCTTCGAAATGGTCTAAGCATTTTGAGCAAGCCGAGGATTAGAAATTTTCTGGTAGATCTGAGTCGTCAGATTCTACGATTGCGTCATATGCCTCTTGAAGACGTGTCCAGAAGTTGTCAAGATTTTCTTTTTTAATTTCTAATACCCATTCAGAATTATCTTGAATCGGTGAAGATGAGAATCGAGTGCAGTATCGAATTAGACTGTTACTCTCGGAAATAAATTTGTTGTATGATATATCATTCACCCTTTTTTGTTTTGTAGCACCTTGCTTTGAGCGTGTAGCATCTGCAGTTGTGCACGGACTTTTTTCTTCTGAAATCATCTTTTGAACTTGTAGCAACTGAGTTGTTTTATATTCCTTTGAGTCTGAGCTCATTTAAAGATGTATAGAATAAATAAAAACGCCTAAGTGAAAACTAGACTTGTAAATGTATAAGATCTAGTTTCGTATATAAACAGTTGAATGGAACACTCCTTGTATATAAGAGTTTAAAAAAAATAAATAAAAAAAACTAATAGTTTTTTGAAAAACCGAGATTTCAAAAATAATTTCGTATATATACATATGTATTTATATTATTAGAAGAGAACTCTTTTAAGTAAATAAGAGTTTAGAAATGATATAAAAAACTAATCGCTTAAATTTGATTTAATTATTTATTAATGGCCGGAGATATTTTATGTATTTTATTTTTCTATGTATATTTCTATTATATACATATATGTATTTTATGTTCAGATGTCCTATAGGGTATACCAAATACCAATATTAGGATATTTTATTTACATATTATGTGATAATGAGCACTCGTTTTAGAGATCACTGCACTTTGTGCATATCCATGTATGTACATATGTATTACACTTTTTTTTTACACAATAATGCTTGCTTTTGTTGATCAAAATCAAGGGGGATTGCGGGACATATGTCAATGTGGACTTTGAAGCAGTAGCGTATCTACATATGTGACAATACATATGTACAAATATTTAAGTATGTTATCAAAATCCTTTTTTTGTTATATTTATTGTTATAAATTGTATATATTTGTTATATATGAGCCCGTATGTGCATATATATACGCATATAKATATATATGTACGGATATATATCTTCGTACGAAAAAGCCACGAAATGAGAATTAACCAACCACAGGTAATTTTTTCAAAATTACTTCTTCGTGTGTAATACTGCGCCGCATATACATGTGTATGTATGTATGTTCGTAGTGTCAAGAAGCCGCGAAAAGAAAAAAAATCTTTTAATTTTAGGTGTATGCATGTGTATGCATATATTTTTAAATATTAAATTTGCTACAATAATAAATGAGCAACTTATGCTCTCTGTATGTAATATAAATATGTAATATGGGACATACATGTATGTATGTATGTATAACGTAAATGATGTTATTTTAACATATGCTTTTTTTTATGTTTGCTTACGATTGCCGTAGCTTATTTTAGCAATCCTGCTTATAATTTCTTAAGTATAAGGGGTATTGCTGGAAATTTCTGCAAGTAAATACTTGAATATTTTGTAGTTTTGATAGGTTTTGTGTTATGGCACAACGGTTATCATTTACCGGCAATCAATAATCTGTTATATACAGTTCCACTTTTTTTAGTTTAAATACAAGATAATTTAATGCCAAAGATAGTAAACTTTGCTTCAATTCCATACGACTTTTAATCGCTCATATATGTATCTGCTAGACCCTCGGTCATTATTTCCCTTTTAGCTTCGAAAATATTTCGAATTTTCATCTAAAACTTTTCGAACATATTCTTAGATTATATTTAAAGAGATTTAAGCAAATCAAAAAATAAATCTGTAGCAACATGTTGCGATACTAACATATAAATGTATACATACAAAGTGAGTCTTATGTATATATATGTACGTATAGATAAGCATAAGGACAGAAACAATTGTTGAGAGTGAAAACTCTTAAAAATTTCTCAATCATATATTAGTAACTAAAGTCTATTGGCCTCTTCCTAAATGAATACAAAGAACTTGCATATATACGTACAAAAATAAATATTTACATAAACATATCCTATGTATATTTCGTATACAATTGTACCGCGAAAAAAAATTTAAAAATAAATAAGAGAGTGAAGATTTTCTCACAAGAGGCAGTGGCAGTTAAAGTAGCGAATTCCATTTACTTACAACATCTATAATACATTTTAAATTTCTTAGCATTCTTCAGTATTCTTAAGAACTTTCTCAAATATACTAGTGATTACTCCCTGGAATTACGGTTTATGTTTAACTAACTAAAATGAATGACAATGTAAAAGCAATTAGAATACCTTTGGAAATATGTACTAAGGCCACAGACATATATAAAAGTGCGTATATGAAACAAAATTTCAATTTGGAATTGGATGATTCAGTAGATATTCCATATCACGCCAGAGAAACTGCACTGCCATTCACATATGGCGACATATCTGAGGGATTAACACAAAGTCAACTGAAGCACGTTGAGAGTATTTTTAACAAAGCACAATTTGAAAATGATAAACAGCCGTTTTTAAAGGAGACAAACTCTTTATATAATTTAGGGGAGACAGCAATGATTCAAGATGTATATTTAAAAAAGAAAATTGTCAACAAAGAAAAGCTTCAACAAAGCAGTGTCAATTTAATTAATAAAAACAAACAGATAGGGAAACGTGGGCTTCTCTCAGAGAACAAATTAAACAATAATATAGTGCGAAGTGGAAACTATACTCGTAAGTTATCCGAAAATGTCCATAACAGGATAATTTTGGAACAAAATGAAATTAGTAATGAGTTATTAAATACATCACATAACGATTTAAATTTTAATAGATGGAATTCAAAAGATCAACCTATCACAGAAACTAAGGATCTAAAAAGGTGTCAAACACCTAGTTTCCCATGTGAGGAATTCGCAAACTTTTCAAATCGTTCGATTAGCYCCTCTCCAACGTTCAGCCCACAAATTTGTAGTACCAATGTAAAAAATAAAAAAGAATACAAAATAGTAACGGAAAATATCACAAACACAAATACAAATTTTGCAAAATTTGCTAAAGATACATCAAACTTTTGGTATAAACCACATATTACAAGAGAAGAAGCATTAATAATTCTGGGCAATGCTAAGCCAGGATCATTCATCTTACGTAATTCAACTACATATAAAAATTCGTTCGGTCTAGTGCTTCGTGTTTCACGGCCACCCGTAAACTTAGCTGTAGTAACTGATAACAGTGAGCTCGTGCGCCATTATTTGTTAGAGCGAACTACTTGCGGCGTAAGATTAAAGGGTTACCATAACGAACCAGTTTTCACTTCTCTCTCCTCCTTTGTTTATCAACACACTGTAGATAAATTGGCACTGCCATGTAAATTAATTATTCCAAAAACGGATTTCTCTTTATCATCTGGACAAGCTAATTTAAGGTTAGTTCAAGAACAATTGTTAGCACAAGGAGCAGCTTGTAATGTTCTTTACTTGTTTAATTATAACACGGAATCACTCACTGGAGATGAAGCTATACGGAAAGCATCAAATGAAATGTTTCTCCAATTCAAGTATTTAAAACCCTATGAAGTCCACTTCAAAGTGTCTAAATATGGTATTACGTTAACGGATAATAAACGTTTATTCTTTTTTCGTCGCCACTACTCTGTCCAAAATATTTCTTATTTCGGTCTTGAATCAGAAAATAGGCTGTGGAAGATTTCGCATGGTGATTCCGAAGATATGTTTAGAGCTATATTTGCTTTTGTAGCACGTTCGTTGGCTGGTGGAAAGGACAATCAATGCCATATTTTCTGCGATCTTTCTGTAAAACAGCCTGCGTCCGCAATAATTTCATTCGCCCAGAAGATATTACCATTGACTATACTTGGTAATAAAATAATATGAAAAATAAAAAAAGATATTTTTCATAGTAGAAAATAAAAAAAGATATTTTTCATAGTATAAAAATTATTTATAATTCGAGTCTAGAATTTATTTATTTTTTATGACTACATTTATTTATAACTTACTTACATTATACGTATACATAATATTCAATATTCGTTCAATAAATTTGTTGAGTTATACAATTAATGAATGTAATATATTTCCAATCGCTTTAAAGGACAGAAAGTCATTTGTTTTCGTTAGAAAAACGAACATAAATTGAAGCAAATCAAAACATAAAAGAAACTATAATGTTTTGCGCAATTAACTTTATTAAATAGTTGAAGTCAAATAAAACAACTAAAATGTTTATAATCGATACATTTTATGTTTTCTAAACCTATTCTTTCAAGACTAGTTTTGTTATTCTTTGCGGCGTTTATACAAATCCGCATGTAAAAAATAATTGGATAATAATTATAACTTTGGAATGAAAAATAATGTAATAATAAAATTAATTTTATAATTTGCCATAGAAGGGAACGAAATCACATGKGACTTTAATAAATAGTAAAGGTAAATAAAAATCAAAACAATACAATCTTCCTTAATATAGACACAAACTATCAACGAATTATTATTTTTTGTTTTTTTTTTTGTATAGCGAGCTGACCTATGTACMTTAAAATTTATTTGCTTAAATAACCTAACATTAGAATATTGAATCTAACAAATTGTGTTTTATTTCAAAACAAGTTGTAGGGGAGAATGATAATTGTAATATACTTCAAATACACATATATCATTTGATCAAACCGAAAAGGAAAAATAAAATAAAATGAGTACTACTTTTTATTACATAACATGTTTTTCATCTTTTTCGAAATAAATATTTTGATAAATATAAAAATAAATTATTAAATATTTGCAAAATGTTACATATAAAGTTATTACAAAACGTAAGAACTAAAATGACCATTCGAAAGAATGTAAACAAATTTTGGTGGTCTGAGTCATTACTATCGCTGCTTGCTGGCGGGTCAAGTTGTTCAAAATAATTTTTGCGAAAGAAAATTATTTTTGCTTTCAAATGACGTCACCTCCAGATGGACGTAATTCTACAAGGTGCTTTCCAAAGTAAACAAAACTTTTTGAATCTAGCGCCTCTTGGTGGCTCAAAAATAACCTTTCGATGTTTTTTGGAAAATTAAAACTTTGATTCTGTTTGYAGATTATTTTTATTTCGTCTTTTACATTTTTTTACATCAAGTCGATAATATGATATCATGTAAACGGCAGCCGCCACAGTTGGTTGTCATTTGAGCCCTTTTTATGGCATTTTCCATCACTTTGGCCAGAACTTCCGGTGATAGGTCCTCACATTATTGACTGATATGTCTTTAAGAGCTGCAAGAGTCTGAGGCTTGTTGACATAAGCCCGCGACTTCAAAAAGTGCCACAACAAGAAGTCGAGCGGTCAAATCAGGCGATCTTGCTGGCCAGTGCAAATCGCCAAAACGGGAGATTAGGCGCCCAGTAAAGGCATCCTTCAGCATATCGGTTGTAGCGCAGTGTAGCGTACCATTGTTTATTTACGTGTATTTTTCATGTGTTTACTACACAAATGTCAAAACAGAACTGACATTAGACGTCAATTGCAAAATTTATAGCATCTTCTGATAGGAGGATTACTTTTACGCCACCATGTATGTATGTATGTATATGTCGACTCGTGCGTTAGAATCTGCTATCTCTATCGATTGTCCAGTGAGAATTTCATGACATTTCATAAATGGGAAGTGAAGTTATTGCGTTTTAAGAGTCAGTATGTTTGTTCTATCTTTGCAAAACTGAGCTTCGAACAAAGAGCCAACATTAAATTTTATTTTAAAATTGTTAAAACTATTACCGAAACGTTCCAATTGATGAAGCAAGTTTATGGCGATGATTGCCTATCCCGTAGCAGAGTGCAAGAGTGGTTTCAACGTTTTCAAAATGGTCGTGAGGACATAAATGACGATCAACATGTGGGCCAATCAAAATCTGTGATCACCGGAAATTCCTTCAAAACTGTGCGTGAATTCATCAAAAATCAGCCGAAATTATCATTGAAATTCATGGAAATGGAATTGAACATTTGCAAAACATCGATTTGTTGAATTTTGATAGAATACGAAAGATTGTTTCGCACAAATTGACTGACGACAAAAAATTGCTCAGGATCCAACTTCGTAGGACATCTTATGACCAATTATTTGACCAAAAATCACATTTTAACCATTAACCACTCCACGTATTCTCCTTATATGACACGTGCAACTTCTTCCTTTTCGAAAAAAGGTAGCGGCCATACTTTCCAACGACGAGCTAAACATTTCAACATTTTGCCGCCAAAAATATTTCTTCCGTTTTTTTTTTCTTTTAAAGTCCTGTTCACTTTGGAACGCTCCTTGTAAAATTAGGTTCACAACACAATCCCGAGGGAAAAATTACAACTATCACAGCGTGATCAAACTTGACAAAGGTCCATTAGAAGAGCATGCTGGCAAAGTTAACGCACTAGGACGTTCTTAATTTTGGTGATCCATTATAGAACAGAGCATTAATGATTACAAATCGGACAACACTATTAGTATGACCTCGTTGATATTTTGCAAAGGATAGGATGAATATCGAACAGTGTGATCCAAATACAAGTATATTTCATATTAATTCATTATTTAATATACATATATTTTAATATGCATATATTCTCTGTTATTAGTTAATAATATTAATAACAGATAATGAAACAAGTAAAAAACTAAGTCCATTGAATAACTTTGCAAATTAAGTTGTTGCTGTCCCACGTTGTCGATAATTCCTAAGAGTGCGTGCTAGCTTTGATGTGATCCATCTAGAATACTTAAAACATAGAGGAGGTGCAAATTGAATTCTGTATGATAGTTCGATTGGACGGCTAACAGAGCTGATAGAATTGAAGTAAGGAGTTCACCATTCTCACAGTTATTTAACAGAAATGAGTACGTTCTCTGGCACATATACTTATATGTATGTAAAAAGACTCATCTCACGCGAGAAAGAATAAATAAAAACGCTTTGAAGAAAAAATATACAAAGTTTTGTAACATATGAACCATTTTTTTTAAATGGTAAACATTTTAACTTTTTTACAAAATTGGGAAAAAGTAGATAAAAAACAAGTAAGGAAGGGCTAAGTTTGGGTGTCACCGAACATTTTATACTCTCGCATGATAAAGTGATAATCGAGGTTTCAGGCGTGGTTGTGAACCGATTTCACCCATATTTGGTACATGTCATCAAGGTGTTAAGAAAATATCATATGCCGAATTTCTTTGAAATCGGTTGAGTACTTYCTGAGATATGGTTTTTGGTTCATAAGTGGGCGACGTCACGCCCATTTTCAATTTTTATAAAAAGCCTGGATGCAGCTTCCTTCTGACATTTCTTCCGTTAAATTTAGTGTTTCTGACATTTTTTGTTAGTCGGTTAACGCACTTTTAGTAATTTTCAACAT